AAAGAAGGTCAACTGCTGATGTGTTGCTGGTTATTGTTGAAAGTGTCTATCATGTTTAGATAAGAATAGTGAATCTTAGACTGTTGCTTTGGATATCTCAAAGGAGTTTGCCAGGGTTTCACATGCTGGTCTTAAGTTGAATTCTTATGATATTTCTGAACAGTTTTGATCCGATTCAATCTTTCTTATCAAATCACAAAAGGAAAATTTTCTTGAACAGCCGCTCTTCTCCATAATTTTGCATTAATGCAGGTGTCCCTCCATAGCGCTATCCTTGGGCCTACTGTTGTAATGGAATGTCCCACACTCCCTATTACCTATGACTATATCAGTAGCTATATATAGTGTGCACAGGACATACCTAGGGACTTGCTTTGGCAATTAGTTGGAGATTTGTCTGCAGCTGTGCTCGTCAAATTTACTGCCTTTAGGCAGAGAGAAACCCAGACGAAGCTATGCCAAAGGCAGAGTCTCATCTGTGGTGGTAGACAGTCACCTGACCCTGTTTATACTACAGGGAATTTTTGCCCTGCATTAAAAAACGGCCTTGTGCCACATCCTGCCTCATAGGAAAATAACCTTGCTTTGGGAATTAGTTAGAGATTTGTCTCCAGCTGTGCTGGTCAAAGTCTCCCAAACGAGGCTGTGTTGAAGGGCAGAGCCTCTTCTCGGGGAAACAGATACCCGACCCCATTTTATACAGTGAATTTTTGGCCAAGCCTATGGGCTTGGATACCCCACATTAATTTTGGCCTTGTGCCACATCTGTTCATGTGGGGAAGTTGTTAGATATCATTGCTTTGGGAATTATTAGCCTGCCATCCAGTTCCCTGTTTTTCAGTAGTGTATTCTCTTTTACAATAAACATCTTTTTCATTCATCTATGCATGTGTTGATGTTCCTTCACTCAAGTACCACCTTTGTAACCTCTGTAAGGATACAACATCTATATTGTTCCTAATTTTCATTAATGATCTTTCTGACGTCATCAGTTCTCAAATGGTAAGTCTGATTGGTTGAATTGATCTGAAAAATGACCGACGTCATTTTGTTAACTGGTACAAGAAATGGCTTGTTAATTTTAATGCCTCCAAAACCAAACTGTTCTCATTTAATCATCGTTGAGACCCACTTGTAGCTTTCATCAGCATGGCTGATATTAACCTACAAGAGATTGACTACTTGCATCTTCTTGGGCTAATGTTTTCCACTGACATGAAGTGGAAATATTATATTGAAGCAGTTGTTAAGGTCTGCTTCTAAGCAAGTTATTGTCATTGTGTTCTAGACAATTTTTCTCGCCAGAATCTATCTTACATATTTTTAAGTCTACCATTCTTCCATGCATTGAATATTGTCGTCACATCTGGTCCGAGGCTTCTGCTATGTATTTATAAAAGCTTGATAAAATACAAAGAAGAATCTGCAATGGTATTGGTTCTAACATGGCATCTTGGATTCAGTTACTTTTCCACCTGTGTAACGTTGCTTCCTTGTGTCATTTCTATAACTATTTTAATGGTAATTGTTCTGATGAGCTTTCTTCTTTGGTATCGCAACTTCACAATTTTATGCAGAGTATTGGATTGGCAGTTAGGTCTCATTATCATACAGTTAAAATGGTGAGATGTAACCCTAAGTTCTATGCTAACAGTTTCTTCTCTTGCACTTCTCGCCTCTTGCCTCCCAGTCAACTTTGATCTGCAAATATTTAAATGCAACATTAATTGTTACCTTTTGTCTTTTTAATTCCTCTCTCCTTAATGTTTTTTTTTTTTTTTTCACATATTCTCTCACTCTCACTAACCCATTGCGTATTAGTGGCTTTATTGCCTTGGTTGTTGTAAAAAAAAAAAAAAAAAAAAATGCAATTTCCTGGAGTTTTTTGAATATGCCTTCATTACACCCCTTACCAGAACAAAAAACAAATTGGGTCATTAGAGGTCAACTTTCATAGAACGGTGAGAGCCTAATTTATACGGTGTTCATCATCAATCTTTTTTTTTTAATTTTTAAATTATTTCACCTCAAGCAAGTTGATAATGCCACTAAGACACAAGACAGTACTGGGAGTGAAAGAGAATGAGAATATTTGGGGAGAAGGATCCAGAAATCCAGTCCAAAACAGGAAACAAGGGATAAACCTCTGCTCCTCTTCAAAAGATGAGGAAGGAGTGTGAACCGGGCAATTACCTTTTAATTATTTTTCTTAAAAAAATGCTTTATAATCATGACATTAAAGTTAATATTCTCTAATTATAATTTTTTTTTAATCTTATACCATATAAACTGTTAAGTTCAAATTTGTGAAAAGAGATGTTTAGAAATAAATGACAGTTTTGACGTATTTTTCCATAAATTACATCTCTGCTAGTTTATTTTAGTTTTACATTATTTTTTATTAGTTCTTTCTTTTTTACCAATGAGTTAAGATGGTGGTGTATGGACTGGCTAGGTCTGCCACCTTCTGACATTTTTTCAGTAAACTGGTGGCACGTTCTTCTGGCTTGAGAAAGATTTACATTCTTTCTTCATTTCTTGACACATTCAATCTTGAACATGACAAATACATACATACATACATATACACACACACACATATATATATATATATATATATATATATATATATATATTTTTGTGTGTATGTGTGTGTAACATATAAAGACAGTATAAATAAAGACGAAAGGAAAACTTAGCTGACATGTTTCGTACTCTGAGGATTTTATTTTGCAACAAGTATAAATAAGCAAAAACAAAAATGTTGTTGGTTTTTCAGAATTTTTGAATTTAAGAGCACAGGCTAAAAGAAAAGTCAAGGTAAATTATGAAGAATGCTAAGTGATGTAATTTAATGTCTGTACAGAAGTGTATTCCAGACCCCATAATTTAATGTCTGTACAGAAGTGTATTCCAGACCCCATAATTTAATGTCTGTACAGAAGTGTATTCCAGACCCCATAATTTAATGTCTGTACAGAAGTGTATTCCAGACCCCATAATTTAATGTCTGTACAGAAGTGTATTCCAGCCCCGAGTTGGCCTTATCAGCCACGAACATGCCTGCAATCAAACAGACTGGTTGATCTTCATTTTGTGAAGCCAAGTCATGAGGATGATATTTTAAATAATACAAGGTTTGGGATTTAACCATTTTCTTTTAATTTAATTTTTTTATGTTGACTTGGGAAAGTACCATTTCTTGTAGGAAAGGAAATATTTGAAAAAAATATGAGGTGCAGGCTTATGTTTTGGCAAGATTCAATAGCAGCACTAAAAGAATATTCCAAAGTTACTTTCTCTTTTCATAAGTGCAGCATTCTTTGGATCAAAAAGTTCTGGTTGAATTAATTTCTATGTATGACTTATGCATTTGATAAATTGTTGTGTATAAGATACTTTTTGCATTTTCTATTTGTTATTTATCCTATTCTATCATATATATATATATATATATATAGAGAGAGAGAGAAAGAGAGACCACAAGGTCTCTAAACAACCTTTCGCAGGTTTTGAATTCCGAGTTGTCCTTCTCCTAGACCAGTTTTCGTCCAAGGCTATAGAACCCAGTCTGTCCTGCTATTTATCCATAGCTGGAGAGAGAAGAGGATTCATACCTTTCCTAAGTGTGTTAACATGTAAGTGAATGTAACAGATTCAATTAAAATCGAACTCAACTCTCTACTTCCTCAATCCAAGCTGCTATCCACTACGCCACCATGCCTCCAAGGTGCACCAGGTTTCTGTATTCGGCCCTTGAAAAAGTGTGGTTGGTTCTGCACAAAGCCTTCACCACTATAATCAAATCATGTGCTGGTGTCTGGGCTGTTGGTTTCTAGGAACTGAGCTGCTTGACCCTCATACATCAAATACGATGGGAGAGTCCATTATATATATATATAATCAATATAAGTAAAAATCTCATTTAGCTGGTTGAGGTTACTTTCAACATCCTGACTCCAGAGTTTTGTAGGTGGACCTATCCATCCACTCTTCAGGGGATATCAGCAATTTACTGCTTATATTTTTGGAATTTTTTCTTTTTGAACACTTATTATTGGTGTAAGTTTTTTGTATTTTTTGTGTGCATTTGTGCAGCCATTCACCCATCTGTGCAGATGTGCATTTGTGTGCATGAAGAATAAATAGGAAATGTTTATAAATAAATCTACCATGTTTTGCTATTATTAAAGCTTCATCAGGCAATGAGATATAGAAAAAAATTTTTGGTATTTTTATTTTTTGTGTTGATTGATTTTCTTTGGTTAAGCAGGCTTCACATGCATTTGATTAGACAAAAAAGCATTTGTTTCCATATCTCATTCTCTGATGAAGCTTAAAATAAGAATAAAAGTGAAACATGTTAGATTTATAAATGTTTCCTATTTTGGTTTTTATCCTATTTTTATGTGGAATTCTGATCCATATTTGATCCCAAATCAAACATGCACACACATCCACACATATATATATTTTTATTTTTTTTTTTTTTTCTTCTATCATTTTTTATCAACCCAACAGATTTTTATTACTTGAAACATCCTGACTTTTTCTTTGTTACTCATTTTTTAATTATGTAATTTATTATTTTATTAACATAAAATAGTTTGACTAACTATTTGTTCTCTACATCTTATCAACTATTTAACACCAGAAATTACTAATTAACCTGTAGATGGGGGAGAAGACATTCATACCTTTCCCAAGGTATTTTATTATAAGTGTTCTTTTCCCCACACTTCTCACTTGTGGAAGTCACTTCTGGCTTCATGCTTTCCAGTTAACTCTAATCTTCAAAAATTTAAATGCAATGGCAATCACTTCTGATTATTCTCCTTAGTAATGTTTCTGTTTTCTAATTCTTCCACATTCAGTAACCCCCTTCTGTCTCGGTGGCTTTATTGCCTTGCTTGAAGTAAACTTGCTTAAAAAAAATGGAATTGGAACTTGGCTCTATGATTAACAATTCTGAGCCATTATCATCACATGCACATCCAAACTTACAGTACCTGGTATTCCCAAGCAGTCACCAATCTAGGTAATGACCAGGCTTGATGTTGCTTAACTTCAGTGATCGCACAGGAACAGGTGTTTCAACTTGATGTGGCCATAAGCCCATAAATATGTAGTTTCGAATATTCATCTGTTTACTGAAATAGCTCAATGGTTAGTTTATTTGGCTGATGATTTAAAGCTCCCAGAGCAGATTTGTGATGCGATATTATTTATCTCTTTCACCCAAGCTATGGGTTAAATAGCAGGGTAGATTGGACTCTCTAGACTTGGATGGCAACCTGATATGTCCCTGAAACTATTAACTGAAACTGAGGTATCCAGAAATGGCATGTAAAACTAGAACAATCTACCCCAGTGTACTAAATAAAGGGTTTGGTTCATAATTTCAACATATAGCAACCGGACTTTACAACGGCTGAAACGTTGTGAATATGACAACAAAGATGAGGACAATAGCTCCTGATTATTATTACAGCCCATAATTTCATTTCTATTCATGATTTCATTTTCTAATTCTATTTCATTTAGTGACACTATGAAAAGCCAGAAACATTTAACAAGATAATAGTTGGATGTCATTTTCAAGATCAGCTACCAATTTTACTTTATCAAACCTGTTGGACTTATTATTAAGCCAAGAGTAAATAGTTATGTCATCAGCATTTTTATTTTTTTATGGCCCATTACTCTAAAGCTTATTTCATGCATACATTTAAATAAAAGCTATTACTAAACTATATTGTTATTATTTCAGGAACCCTTCAATTAGTGTAGCTAATGATTGGCTAGCAAGGCCTCTGATCAGAAGGTTTTGAGGAGTGTGCAACCACCTCTTAATTGCTAGTATTCCCAGGTCCCCCCTGACCGAGGGTGGTAGCACCTGTTAGGGTCCCAGCTATGGGCAAATAGTTAACCCCCAAACTAGGGTCAAAACATTATGAAAGTGAAAAAATGTTTTAATACCAGAAATACTTTGTAAAAAGAGTTATTATCGGCAATAGACTTTTTTGATGAAAAAAATATTACCAGAAAGACATTTTTGAAAAACAAAAAAAAAATTATTACTAGAAATAAATTTTTGAAAATAAAAAAAAATATTAACAGCTATAAAAATTTTGTTGGCATTAAATAACCCATTATGGTTGTGATGCTGTAAACCAAACCAACTAACTACTGTACCAATAACTATATAGTTATGTAATACAAAATTGATTTAAGAAAAGGTTTTAATGACATAATGATGAAATAAATATCCTAAATTACTGACACGCTAAAATTGAGATGCTAAAATTTCAGTTGTCTTCAGTTATTCTACTTTAACTTTTGCAATAAGTCCTGGGTATGAGAGTAAACTACATCTTGCAGCAAGGTCTCTGATCAGGAGATTGGAGGTTTGAAGAGTATGAAACCACCACTTAATTGCTGTTGTTCCCAGCTTCACTCTGACTCAGTGTGGTGGCACCTGTTAGAGTGCAAACTGTTGCCGAATAGGGAGCCTGCTAAACAAAAACAAAACACGATGAAAGTATAAAAATACGTTTTCATAGTAAAAATACCAAAAATACATTTTTATGTTAAAAAAAAAAAATTAGTGACAATATCTATTTATAGCAAAATTAGCAACAACGCATACCCAGAGTGTAAATTAGCAACAACGCATACCCAGAGTGTAAATTAGCAACAACGCGTACCCAGAGTGTAAATTAGCAACAACGCGTACCCAGAGTGTAAATTAGCAACAACGCGTACCCAGAGTGTAAATTAGCAACAACGCGTAATATAGTAAAGTTAGCAACAATAGCTATTTATATTAAAAAGAGCAAAATTACATTTCATCTGTAGCTGAGGGCATACAATTGTGTTCAAAGTATATTTAGCTGAAGCCATAAAAGTGTTCAAATTATTTACATTTCAGCATTGAATAACGCACAGAGGTTGATATGCCGCTAAACAAAAATCAACCAATCAACTTTTGCAAAAAAAAAAAAAAAAAAGAAAGAAAATGCTGCTGCAGTTTCGACAATGCTTTTTTGCTTTTCATTGGCAATTGTGTACTGGCTGGCTACTTTGAGTAGCACTCTTCTAGAGTATTTGCCTGTCACCAATATGGAGGCTGGGGAGCTTGCCTCACCACCAGAAAATCATTCCTGCCCCACTGTGAAACTGATGTGAAAAATTTTAGTGTGCAATTTCTGACTTGCAACCTTCCTGACCTAAAGCCTCAAAACACTGATGACTGACCAGAATATTTGACACTAATGTTTACCAAAGATTTGGAAATTTTCTTTCATTGGTTTAAAACTAGATTGGATTTCATAAAGACATCTGATGAGAAAAATGTTTAAAATATTGATAATACAGTAATAATAATAATGGCTGGTCGCTCGTGACCGAGTATGCCTGTCTACTAGAGCAGCTAGAAATTTCCTATTGCAGATGCCTGCTCAAGAGCATTTATGTTTGTTCAACCTATACAGAACTCACCTATGATGTATACTGCAACTATGCTGAGCAGATCTTAGTTACAGTTTCTGGGAGAGAGGGCATTATCTTTGTGTGATCAACAATCTAAAAAAGGCCAGTACACTGAAACATTCGGTCATGAAGTCATGTGACTTCATGCTAACACAACCATCATTGGCTCCACAATAGTTTTGTCAACCCAGTTTTACTCATAAGGCTTCTGTCAGCGCATGTTATGGTTTTCAGTCACTTTCCAAGGGTGCCACATGATGGGAAATTCTGGTAAATCACTTTTCTGAAAAATCGACCATGTTGTGATCCAAACCCGGATCTCATGATCAGAAAGTGAACCTTCTAACCATTCAGCCATGCGTCCATATGATAATCCAGTGGGACCTCACTTATCCATGGAATTACCAAGCATGGTTTCATCTATCCACTGTAGGCCCTACAGCAAAATTTTAACGTTCAAAACTTTCATCAGTTAAAAGTAATTTTTATTTTGAAACTTAAAACAAAAACAATTTAAGTGTCCTCAAAGTTATCAAATTCTGAAGGAAAGAGCTCGGAATAATTAAAAGAAGTTTTGTTCATGAAATATTTTCAGCATATTCATTTCATTTTTATATTTGGCTTGCTGCGTATGTCATATATATTTCTCAGCAGTGTAGGTGGTAATTGCATCCTTTTCTGTCAGTCAGAAAGATTAAGATACTTTACAGTTTAAAGTAAATATTGACTTTATAACAAACAAGTCTGTATTATAATTAATGAAAACTTTTTTTTTTCAATTGAAAATTCTGTTTTGTTTTTTTTTTCTTTTGAGAAAAATTTAATGCTTAAAATATTTAATTAACTTTTTAAAGGTCTCTCTATTTGGACTAGTATATTTGTCTTAGTTTTTATGCTCACAACAGTTCGGACATTCTGACTGTAACAACTAAAATGAAAAGTCAAATAATCATTCCTCATTTTAGAAACTTTGACATAAATTACGATTTTAAACCACATGCCCCATTTTCTATTTTGGGGACAGCAGGCATTAATGGGTGGAATTCTATAAATAATATCAGATCTTTATTCTAATTTTTGGAAATTCTATGACAAAGTAGAAAAATTATTTTTTGCATGACACATTTCATCCTTTAAGATTCCATCAGACAAAAGTGATATTTGCATTTATACAAATGTACATACACATGATGGAGAGAAGACACTGAAATTTTAAACTTTTTTTTTTTTTTTAAATGTGTATATTTCGTATATAATCTAGCCAATTTCATTTAGTTTCTTTTTTTTTTTTTATCCCTTTTGTTAAACATCTCACATTGGCATAATAGAAGATCTACCAAGAAAGATTAAATGGCGTAAGAAACTTGACTGTGGACGATTTAGTGATGAAAGTACTTTCTACAAAGTTTTGTCTTAGTAAATTGCTATCTCTTTTAATTAAAGTAGCCATTTTTAAATTAAAATTATGGTCAGTCACTGTGGTAAGTAATTTAGTGTGTTGTTATGTAATATATCCTTTTAGTGTTCATATAATCATTTTAATTCATTGATGGTTTAGGTTTGGTTTGGTTTACCGCATATCAACCTCAATAGGTTATTTAATGCCAACAACATTTTTAGGATATATTCATATGAATAGAATATGTATTCTTTGGTTTAAATTGGTTTGGTTTATTTTGTTTTACCACAAATCAACCTCAACGGGTTATTTAATGCCAACAACATTTTTAGGATAAATTCATATGAATAGAATATGTATTCTTTGGTTTAAATTGGTTTGGTTTATTTTGTTTTACGGCATATCAACCTCAATGGGTTATTTAATGCCGACAACATTTTTAGGATAGATTCCTATGAATAGAATATGTATTCTTTGGTTTAGATTGGTTTGGTTTATTTTGTTTTACGGCATATCAACCTCAATGGGTTATTTAATGCTGACAACATTTTTAGGATAGATTCCTATGAATAGAATATGTATTCTTTGGTTTAGATTGGTTTGGTTTATTTTGTTTTACGGCATATCAACCTCAATGGGTTATTTAATGCTGACAACATTTTTAGGATAGATTCCTATGAATAGAATATGTATTCTTTGGTTTAGTTTGGTTTATTTTGTTTTACGACATATCAACCTCAATGATTAATGTCGAAAAAATTTTTTATTGCTGGTAATATTTTGTTTTGTCAAAAATCTGTTTCTGATAATATTTTTTCTTCAAAATTGTATTGCTGGTAATAATTTTTTTCAAAAAAGTATTGCTGGTAATAATTAACTATTTGCCCATAGCTGGGACCCTAACAGGTGCTACCACCTTGAGCCAGGAACTAAGAGATGGTTCTACGCTCCTTAAAACCTCCTGATCAGAGGCCTTGCTGCTGGACACAGTTTATTGTCTTACTCAGGACGCGGATGTAGTTTAACATCTTACGCAGGACGTAATTCCTTGAGGTTTCTTCTATGTATTTCTTGATTTTCCTAAAATTGTTCTGATATATAAAAATGATGTATCTTTTTTTTCCAATTGTAATTTTTATAATACCAAATTTTATGGTAGGCATTAATAAGTTACAATAAAGTGACTATTTCTCCTACAAAAATTTGGGGGCATACCTATCTA